TCTCAGTCAGTAAAGGTACTCTATATACGTTATTTAACTTCAGTAATGATTTAGTTGCAGTATACCTCATATCGGTAAAGGTATACCGAATAGAAGTATCAATAGGCTATTCCGTTTTCTTGCTGTTAGCGAAAGCCCCCTCCTATAGTATAGATAGGCTAACGCGCAGGAGGGCAGACGCTTGAACACAAAAAAGATACATTAGCACGCCTTTGTCCTCGGTACCAGCGAAGTTTCAGTACTAGAATGCAAGACGAGAAAACCCTATTCATGTAAGGTTGATCCCCTATTACTCCCTTCCTTGGCTACTTAACCCGGAAACACCCTTTAACGTAAGAGCTCTTGAAGAGGGACTGCATCTCGATCCGCAACTGCTACTCAAATTCCTTCTGCTGCTGGCGGTGCTGGTAGCCTTGATCCACTTTGTTGGGGGAAAGAATGGCGGGATAATCCATAAGATCTGGTTTCTAATGTTGATTCTGAATCTGGTTAAATTATTCTATTGAAATTGCATTCTTCTCACAGAAAGACCCCCCGAAGAGGAATTCCATTGAGAGGCCCCAGTTTGTCTAGGGAAAGTCATACCGAGCGAACCGAGATCCAAGACCTAGCTAATAAGACGAGATCAGACAATTCAGATTTTATTCGATCCTTGTCTGATTCAATTCACCTATCAGGCATTGAAAGGAAACAATTCACAAGACAATCAGCCCTTTATCCGATCGGCTTCTCCCACCCGGCGCAACCTTTCAGAGAGGAAAACAACCGAATGGATGCTCTTTGCCTTTATCTGATAGGGGCAGCTGGTTAGCTCTAAACCGCTTGGAAAGCCAGAAGCAAGGGAAAAAGAAAGAGGGGAACCGTGCTTATAAAAGCACATTTTTAAGCCAGAAACCAAGGATGAACGGAAAGGGAAAGAAAAGCCAAGAAGGCCAGGAGAGAGTGTCCACCGACTATCTCTACAGAGAGAGCGCAAGAACCGATTCTTTATACGGTAAATGGTTAAACCCCCCTTACTGTCCTGAGCGAGCCGTAGAAGCCAATTCGGTGAAAGAATGCAGGCAGCCTTAACAACAATAGCTAAAAGAAAAAGAAAATGCATTCTCTATTGAAATAAAGCAGAAGACATTTCTCTAGCTGATAGGAGATGAAATTAACTAAAGAAAGGAAAGGCTCGTGTTTATACTTGGCGCGGAATCGAGCCTAAAGTCTTAGTTAGTATTCTTAACCGTTAAAGAGAGAAAGCTTTGAGATCTTCTTTTAGCCGAATCTGAGTTTTTGAACCGTAATGCCAGGCTTCATACATATAGATCTGATAGATAGAGAGACTCTGTTACCTAGTTAGGAGCCTCTTATGCTTTGAGATGCTACCTAGCTGATGGAGCCAACTCGATGAATCGAATCCACATCTTTTCCCACAAGTACACTAATCAAAAACAATGGTTGATGTCTGGTCTAAGAGCTCCTTTATAGGATAGGTACGAACTAGGGTATGTTCCCTTGAATAAGGTAGAAAGCAACCTCCCTTATACGTCTGAAGCTGCCTTTTCTGTGTAAAGCATATTGCAAGTTTGTTTTCCTTCTTGGCTCTGGAATCTAGGGCCTTCTTTTTCTTGACTTGAATGTAACCTATCCCGTCTGGAATCAAGGGAAATGCTTGTTTTATAACTATGTACGGGCTTTACCCCAGATAGACAGACCTTTGGGGGGCGTATTCTCTTAGAAAGAGAAAGATGTGCGCTTGACACGCTAGATGTTATGTGCTCTCAAGGCGAAAGATAAAGGTCAAAGTCAAATGAATGTCCTTGTGAAACAACTCATATGGGAGATTTAGCGGTAGCATTTCGTCCCGTCCGCTGGTCCTTGAGCAGTAAGAGCAGAGAAGCTATCCGACGAGCAAGGTGCTAGCAGTCTCATATCTTTTTTATACTAAGGGTGCCAAAGGCATAAAGCATAAGAATAAATGTTCTCTTTCCATTATAATATAAGAAGAAACTCATACTCGGTAACGGAAGAACTATCTCGTATCAAGAACAACGAAAACAAATGGTGCATTTAGGTGATTACCATATCCTATTGGAATCTCAACTAGGTCAGGAGGGGCAGTCTATTATTCCAATCCAACAAATTAGACCGGGGAATAGGTTTTCTCCGGTCCTTGCTCGTCTCTCAATTGATTGTAACTTTAACTCAGCTTTTAAGCCAAGCCTTCACATCTAACTGTAAGCGCTCTTCCATTATTGCCATTCCCGCTTTCCTATTCCTTGGGCTATGCTATGCGCAATCAATCAGTTGCTTGCTTCCTATCAATCTCGATTCCTGCTTAGCTGTCTTGCTTGTTTACTGGTTTCCTTCTTTTGTTTATTCGATACTGGTTCCCTCTCTTCTTCAAAGATTGTTCCATTGGTAGATTCCGTTGAAGAATGAAATGAATTCATCCTCTTTTGGGAAAATGTAGAATAATTGATTTCCGCTCACCTCGTGTACCTATCTATTCCTCTTCCTTTCTGCCAGCACTTTCTCTACCCGGGAGTCACTTCAGTACCTAGGACTACTGTCCCAGGATGCCAAACATACATTGAAAGTGTCAACGTTGACTCACAAGCGCCACCCTCACCGGGTCAATCCGGAGAAGGGCAACTGCTTCTGTAGGTAAGGACTCAAATAAAGATTTTCATTTATAGAGTTCGTGAACCAACGAGTTATGGTCCATGTAGTAGTCTTATGCGTTGGACCGGGTATAGCTGTTTACACCTTTCAACTACTATTACAGCTATGCTATTAGACTGAATAAAATCTTAGTGTGGTTAAGCCGGTCAGAAGTTGTTCCATCTCCGGTTCTTGGTAATGCCATCTGTCCTTTTGTGCCTCATCTCCCTAATCTCCCCTATCAAATAAATAACAAGGCCCTTGCGCAGGTGGTTAGCAACCGAACACAAGATTCGAGGAGCTGTTGCTGCCTCCTTGAGTAGTTTCGCCGCTTGCATTGCAATTCTCGCATTTAGGGCGGATAAGAGGTACTTTTCAGCATAAGAGCACGGTAGTCACGCCTCCCATCTCATTCTCTGGTCACGTATTCGTCCTATCAGTTCTAGTTCTCGCCCATGGATGCTTCTGTTCGCGCTTAGCTTCTTTGACCGATAGAGTTAGGCACGGTTGTATTGTAGTTTCTCTCCTAAAGCTAGCTTTATCTTTTATACCCTGACTAGAGTTTTTCCTGACTATTCTGGCCTGTCACTTGGTCATTCGAAGCATCTATCCCAGGATTTGGCCCATCTTACTAGGTACCCTTCCCTTTAGTAGATATAGGAAGCCCGTTGGAAAGATTCTTTGCCACATGGCTCCGCTACGACTCATCAACCAAGGGACTGATGCTTGCCTGACGTTCTGATGTCCAGACTCCTTGCCTTCTTCTTTTGCTAAAGAACAACTTCGTTTAGTAGATAGCTTGAGCGCAGATGAATGAGTCTACCAGGTTATCATCCACAATATGTTTAGGTTTTCTTGCATTAAAGGTAACTGCTGCTCTTAAGGACTACTCGACCTAATAAGGGAGAGTAGAGTCCATTATCTACGTATTCACGACTTCAACACAACTCATTCACTTAAGAAAGGATAGCTTTTGAATAGAACTCAGTAAAGAAAGAATTCCCTCTTCTCTAAAGCAAGCAAGGTAGGAAGGAAGACGCTCTCCCTAAACCATGATATGAGGTCTAGAAAAGAAAGGCGGCTATATAGATCAATTCTCTTCCAGCGCTGTAGCTTGTTCGGAAAAGAGGCTGTAGCCCGAGATTTGCTTACTGAAGGTATTCTTTGTAGTAAACTAGATCCCAGCAGACACAAGACCTTAGAAAACGGGATTGTATTGAGCTATAGGCCCCTAGACTAATAAGCGGAGATGCCCTTATCAGATAAAGGCGAAGCGAGAGGAAGTGAAACGAGCAATAGCGAGAGGATTGATGAAAGAAGTAAGAGTTCAGGCTCAAGGCTTCTTTCCAGCTCTAGTTATCTTGAATTAAACATCTTTCTTCTTTACGCTTTTTAGTTTACTTTTAGCATTCCTTTCATCTGCCCTAGGCAACTTTCTTTCTTATCTTAAGATATTCTATATCGAGTTACCGTCGCATCAATAGGAAGCACCGGTTACGAGAGCTTTTTAAGCAAGAGCGTCTGATTGAACAAAAGCCATTCTTGAACAAGGGCTATAGCACCAGCTTCCCCCTGATCTGACTAATCTTTCTCATTTTCCCGGGATTATTAGATGCGGATTACCGATCCGTGGGATAATAGCTCGTCACTTACCTGAAAGCCAATAGTGAGACATGCCCAGAATCAGTTGTGCTAGAATCTCCTCTTCCCTTTGCAATTGAAGAAGAAGAAAGTCTGGGTGGAAGGTTCAAGACAGAAGCAAATGAAATAGAATAAGATAAGATGCCATAGAATTGGATGGCAGGTAATCCCCGAAAGGAAATAAAAGAAAGTAAAGAAGGTAAGAAAGGCAAGGCAAAAAAGGGCAAGAAGGTCCTTCCCTAACCCTAACGAGGAGAGGACAAGACTAGCTACTTTCTCTAAGGTGCAACCTTTTCTGTCCATGTCCATCTCAGAGCCTATCCCATCACGTGGAAGGGGGAATAAGGACCTATTTACTTCGAAAAGAGCCTAAAAGGGGCATGAATGTCCACCCTCTTATTCTAGTTGTGCAATTCATCCTTTTGACATGCCACAACCATTACAGGTAAATCCAATATCCACGAAAGGAAAGGACATTTAGTCCGCTCTTAGGGGAATAAGCGCTGTGAACGAATCCGCAGTAAGGATATCCACGAATAGGACAAATGCTATCGAATAGGCTGTGAATGCCCTCTTTGGACGAATAGGAACAGAATCCCCTTAAAAAGGTATTAGACTTCTCCCTTCCTCTCCTTGCTTGTTTATAAAGTAGTACTAAATCAAAGACATGAATTGCCCGAAGGCCAGGTTATTTATTCCCATAGGCACAA